TTTTGTTCTTCGATGCCTGATACCTGATCCAATCAGCACCTCATGATCACACAGGCTGGTGTGCTTCCATGTGGGCTTTGTTGCTTCCCAGCTGGATGGCCACTTGTTTATCTTCAAGCCTTTAAGACCCCAGATGCTATGTCTTTTGATAGTTGATAGCCAGGCACCATCAGCTTTCTTCACCACAGTTGCTTATGCACCCATTTGTCTTCAGCGATCGTGTCAGGAAGGTGAGTGTCATGGAATGGCAGTTTAATAGAACAAAGTGTTCTTGAATTGGGGGAGTACTTGAGTAGAAGCTCAATGTCCATCTGCTACCTTAATTCTAAACCTATAAATATATGCACATAGATCTAGTTCCCCATCGTGATATGTAAATATACTTACATATGCACATGCCTGTATTTAGACCTCTATAAATGCCCTTTGCCTCCTAGTTTTTCCCTCTATTTCCCTTGACTTTCTTCTTGTCCCTCTATCATGCTCAGCCTTCATTTGCATTTCAGTAATTCCGCTTGGTTACCCTTGATCAAGCCCTACCAGGCCCATAGGGCTGGTGCACCCTCCTCACCACCGATTTTGCATCACTTGTTGTCCCCTTGTCCCTGGGTTTGTTAACACCCACTTCATTTTCCTCCCGCCTCCCCTTTCCCAGGTACCCCCAGAACTGTCAGCCCCATTGTTTTCTCCTCTAGATTGTTTACCCCACCTATCTTATCTAGATAGACCTGTGAGATAATAATATGCACAAAAAACAAGACAGAACAAAACAAAGCACAAAAGAAAACAAAACAAAAACAAACCAATGACCGAAAAAAAGAGAAAAGCCTATAAATAGTTCCAGGTCTGTTTGTTGACCTTTAGGCATGTTTTCCAGTCGAATCTGATGGGGTGCCAAGCCGTAGCCCCAAAGTCTATTTTTGGTATTCTCTCGGGACTTCCTTGCTCTGCTCCCCTTGCCGTTCTGTTGCATGCACTTAGTGTTTTGTCTCAGTGTGGTGGGATCAGATCGGGTGCAATTCCCACACTGTGTCTCCAGTGTTGTCCCACAGTGCTATGGGTCAGTGAGGAATGTTGTGTCTCATAGTGGGGCCGGCCATATGGTCTTCTCCGTGCATTGGCTGCTCTGAGCGGGGATATCTTCCTCAAGGCTTGGTGGGCCAGGAAGTGCTCCACTCTCTCATCCTCCCCCTTCATTTGCTCCTGTGTCCTCTGATCAGACATGTCTTCCTCCCTGAGCTGTAGCTTCAGTGCTGTCCTCTGAAGTAAATTCTTCTGGGGGAAGGGGTGCCTGTCCGCGTAGTTGGGATTGGGGCCGGCCCCTCAGACCTCTCTATTGGTTCCCGTCTTCATGTCAGTATGTAACATTCACATCTTGGAGCACTGGGGTGAAGTCTGGTCCCTCTTTCCCTGTGGAGATATAAACAATACCCTCTCCTTGGGTGGGTTAGTGCCCTGTTCCCCCACTACCCGTGTATTTTTAGTTGGCTACCATATATATCCCTGGATTTGGTCTGGCCCCTGCCATACTACCTGGACTTCACCCAGGGATGTTTGTGTATAGGAGCTTGTTCCCTGTGCCCCTTTTCAGCCTTTACCCTGAGGCACAAGTGACGGTGGGTTGTGCAGCAGGGCCCCCCTGCTGCTGCCGTGGAGCTGGCCCAGCTCCAAGACAAACCAAGACCCGAGTTACTGTTCTGACCGGGAGACACCAGTGACATCGTGGGCTGGCCTCGGGGACCTTGAAGCCCCTGCGGTCCTAAGACCAGCGGCCCGGACATCGGCTGGGGACTTGTTTGAAATGCAGACTCTCAGGTCCTCCCCAGAGCTTGTGAGCCAGAATCTGCCTG